TATACAAGGCTTTACATCCCCAAAAGAAAGAATACACATTCTTTTCCATTGCACATGGAACATCTTCCAAAATAGACCACTTGCAAGGCCAAAAAACATACTTCAATAGAATGTGGAAAGTAAAAGTAGTATCAACAATCTTTTAAGACTACAATGTGCTGAAGATAGAAGCAAATCAACAAAGACACCGAGAAACAAATCAAACACCTAGAAATTAAACAACTCAATGTTGAACAATGAGTGGGTCAGGAATGAAGTCAAGCCCAAAATCAAATGATACCTGGAAGCAAATGAGAATGAAGACAAGAACTACCAGAATCTTGGGACTCAGCTAAAGCCGTGTTAAAAAGAAAATTTATAGCTTTGCAAGCATTCCTAAGAAAGGAAGAAAGGACCTATATAGATAACCTGACCTCACAGATCAAGATCATATAAAGAGACCAAAAAGGGAATCAAAATCTGGCCGAAGGAAAGATATAATAAAAAATTACAGCAGAAATTAACGACAAGGAACCCCAAAAAAACAAACTGAAAGGTCAATGAAACCAAGAGATGGTTCTTTGAGAAAATAAACAAGATTAATAAACCACTAGCATGACTCACAAAGAAAGAGAAAGAGAACCCTAATAAACCGAATCAGAAATGAAAAGGTGAATATCACAACAGAAACCAATGAAATTTAAAAGATCATTAGAGACTACTTTGAGAGAATGTATGCCATGAAACAAGAGAACCTAGAAGAAATGAATAAATTCCTGGATTCCTATAATCTCCCAAGATTGAACCAGGAAAACTTGGTATACCTGAATAGACCCATTGATATCAAGGAAATTGAAGCAGTAATCAAAAGTCTTCCCAAAAACAAAAGCCCAGGCTCAGACGGATTCACTAGTGAATTCTTCCAAACATTTAAAGAAGACATTCTGCCACTTCTTCTCAAGCTATTTCAGGAAATTAAAAAAAAAAAAAAACAGGAACTCTTCCAAACAGCTTCTTTAAGGCACAACCCTCTAATACCAAAAGCAAACAAAGACACCACCAACAAAGAAAACTATGAGCCAATATTCCTGATGAACACGGATGCGAAGATCCTCAACAAAATATTAGCAAAGAGAATCCAACAACTCAACAAAAATATCATACACCACGACCAAGTGAGATCAATCCCGGGGATGCAAGGATGCGTTAACATTCGGAAATCAATCAACATAATCCATCATATCAACAAAAGTAAAGATAAAACCATGTGATCATATCAATAGATGCACAGAAAGCTTTTGACAAGATTCAGCACCCGTTTATGATGAAAACCCTCACCAAAATGGGTTTTGAAGGAATTTTCCTCAAGATAATCAAAGCCATTTACGATAAACCCATGGCAAGCATTATCTTCTATGGGGAAAAAAATAAAGGCCTTTCCTGTAAGATCAGGGACAAGACTGGATGCTCACTATCACCACTTCTGTTTAACATAATACTGGAGGTACTTACAATAGCGATGAGACAAGAAAAAGATATTAAAGGCATCCAGGTCAGAAAGGAAGAAATCATGCTCTCACTATTCGCAGATGATATGGTACAATATCTCAAGAATCCTAAATCCTCTACCAAGAAACTCCTAGAAACAATAGACTTGTACAGTAAAATCGCAGGCTATAAAATCAACAACCAAAAATGCATGGCCTTTCTATACGTAAATAATGAGAGAGAGGAAAGTGACATGAAAAAATAATCCTGTTCAAAATCATGTCCCAGAAAATGAAATATCTCAGAATCAGTCTAACTAAAGAGGTAAAGGACCTCTAAAATGAAAACTACAGAAGGCTACTCCATGAAATAAAATAGGACATGAGGAAATGGAAACATATCCCCTGCTCATGGATAGGAAGAATTAACATAGTCACAATGGCAATACTCCCCAAAGCATTATACAGACTCAATGCGATCCCCATAAGGATACCATGAAATTCTTCAAAGAAATAGATCAAGCACTCCAGAAATTCATATGGAACAACAAACCCCCACGAAAACCTAAAGCAATTATTGGGAAAAAGACGTGGAGAGGCATGACCCTCCCCAACTTCAAACTCTACTGCAAAGAGGTAATAATTAAAACAGCATGGTACTGGAACAAAGGTAGGACCTCAGACCAATGGAACAGGGTGGAACATCTGTACAAACAACCTTAAATGGATGAACATCTTATCTATGATAAGGGAGCAAGAAATGTGAAGTGGAACAAAGAAAGCCTTTTCAACAGTTGGTGCTGGCATAACTCTACAACCACATGCAAAAAATGGACGTAGACCTCGACCTAACACCATTCACAAAAGTCAGTTCAAAATGGATTAAATATCTCAACATCAAGCCAAAATCCGTAAAGAATTAAGGGCATTCAGGTAGGAAAGGAAGAAATCAAGCTCTCTCTATTCACAGATGATATGATACTATATTTAGAGAACCTTAAAACCTCTACCAAGAAGGTAAAGGTAAAGGTAAAGGCCCTCCCGTTGATCGTCAATTTGCTCGAGCAGGCCCAGTAAAGTCTCCATTGGAGACTTTGTTGTTACTGTGTTTGGCATATTGAATACTCTCGTAGCTTGCCGGGCTCTCCGAGAGGGGCAGAGGAATCGAACTCGGGTCGGCCATGTTGGCCGCTTGTAAGGTGAACGCCCTACCCGCTGTGCTATCACTCCAGCCAAGAAACTCCAAGAAAAAATAAATTTGTATAGTAAAGTTGCAGGCTATAAAATCAATACACAAATGTCCAATGCTTTTCTATATGCAAATAGTGAGAGAGAGAAAAGTGACATGAAAAAACAACAACATTCATAATTGTGCCCCAGAAAAATCAAGTACCTGAAAACCAGCTAAACTAAGGAAGTAAAAGACTTGTACAAAGAAAACTACAAAACGTTAATTCAGGAAATAAAAGAGGCCATGAGAAAATGATAAGATATCACCTGCTCATGGATTGGGAGAATTAACATTGTCGAAATGGCAATACTTCACAAAACACTGTACAAATTCAATGTTATCTCTATAATGATACCCATGACATTCTTCAAAGAAATGGAGCAAACACTCATAAAATTCAATGGAACAATAAGCCCCAACAAATAGCTAAAGCAATTTTGGGAAAAATAAAATGGAAGGATTCAACCTCCCTAACTACAAACTCTACTACACAGCATTAATAATTAAAACAACATGGTACTGGAACAAAGACAGAGCTGCAGACCAATGGAACAGGGTTGAATATACTGACATCTCCCCTCAAAAATATGATCATCTAATCTTTGACAAGGGAGGAAGAAATGTGAAGTGGAGTAAGGAAAGCCTCTTTAACAAATTGTGCTGGAAAAACTTGACAGCTACATGCAAAGAATTGGGCCCGGAACTCTGCCTAACACCATGTACAAAAGTAAGATTAAAATGGATTAAAGACGTCAATATCAGAACAGAATCCATAAGGCACATTGAAGACAAAGCTGGCAAAACCCTCCATGACATTGAAGCTAATGGTATCTTCAAAAATATCATGCCACTGGCCAAACAAGTGAAAACAGAGATAGACAAATGGGACTATCTTAAACTAAGAAGCTTCTGTACCTCAAAAGAAACAATGACCAAAATACAAAAACAGTCTACATAATGGGAAAGGATATTCACCCAATATACATCTGATAAGGGGTTGATTCAAAGATATATAAAGTACTGGTTGAACTCCACAAGAAGAAAACCTCCAACCCCATCAAAAAATTGGGTGATGAAATGAACAAAAAATTTCTCAAAGAAGAAATCCGAATGGCTAAAAGGCACATGAGAAAATGCTCAACATCATTAATCATCAGGGAGATGCAGAACAAAACAATGAGATATCATCTCAAACTACAGAGACTTGCCCACATCCAAAAGAACAAAAGCAACCAGAGCTGGCGCGGATGTGGCGAGAAAGGGACCCTTTTTCACTGCTGGTGGGAATGCCGGCTAGTTCAGCCCTTTTGGAAAACAGTACGAATGATTCTCCAAAAATTAGAAATTGAGCTCCCATTTGACCCAGCAATACCACTCCTGGGAATATATTCCAGAGAGGCAAAAAAGTATAATGGAAGTGACATCTGCACTTGTTTGTTTATTTCAGCACTGTTTACAATAGCTAGAATCTGGAAAAAACCTGAGTGCCGGAGAACAGATGACTGGTTAAAGAAACTTTGGTACATTTACACAATGTAGTACTATGTAGCTGTTAGAAAGATGAAGTCATGAAATTTACATACAAGTGGTACTTCATGGAAAGTATCATGCTATGTGAAATGAGCCAGAAAGAGAGGGACAGACATATAAATATTGCATTCATCTGGGGAATATAAAATAACAAATAGGAGACCAACACCCAAGAATAGTCAAGATAGTCAAGATAAGTACCAGGATGTTCACTCCATGGCTTGGAGACCAGCCACACATGCTAGGGGAAAAGGTAGTTCAGATAGAGAAGGGAGCACCAAATAAAGGGTGTTGGAAGGATCTTCCCAGGGAGGTGCATGCTGAAAGTAGACTATAGACTGAACATGATTGCCACTCAATGCTTCTTTTTCAAACCACAGCACCCAAAAGGAGAGAGCAAACAAAGGGAATACCCTGCCACAGAGGGTAGGTGTGATGGGGGGATGGGGTTGGCAGGGATACTGGGATCATTGGTTGTGGAGAATGGGCACTGGTGGAGGGATGGGTACTCGATCATTGTATAACTGAAACCCAAGCACAAAAATTGGTAAGTCTACAACTGTAACTCATGGTGTTTCACTAATAAAAATTAAATTAAGAAATTAAAAATTAAAAAAAAGTTTCTGTTCAGCACATCCTCTTTCAGCATCTTGTAGATGCTTTAGAAGCATAGTTCAGTGGGCATCTTTAAAACACACTCACTATAGTAAAGTAGTATAGTGTGCTTATAGTTTTGCATCTGCAGTTGTAACTTACATCCAACCAGCTCTTACCATGGTCAGGCATCTGGGATCCCATAGAAGTGACACTAGCATTCAGCACATCATTGACAGCAGTATCGCAATACAGGCTTCTCTGGACATCATGTTCACTGTCAGTCTGGTCACTTTCCTCATGTCCACTGTCCTTCAGACTGTTGCCCTCTAAATCCTTAAAGGTGGAGCTGCTGGGTTAAAAAGATTAAAAATTGACAACTGTGACAGATGGAATTCTTAAATTATTTCATTTATAACAATGTCAGCTCTGTGGGAGACCAATATTTTACTGGATTGCCCTATAAGGCAGGAACAAGAGAAATTTTTGTTTAAAGATAATGATACTTAAAATTGCAGAAAGTTTAGGGCCAAACAGAGAGTTCAGCAAACTAAATACATGCTTTGCTTGCTGGAGACATTTGTACAATACCTGACCTACAGGATGGGATACCCAAGCACAGAGCTAAGAGTACTTTCTGAGCACTTCCAGGTATGGCCAAACCCCCCACCACAATTCCAATTGAACAGTATTACCCATCATTGGTGCTGATGCAGATAATATTTTCAATCATTTATGGGGATGCATTAAAAAGGCATAAATCTGAAATGAACACCTGCCCACAAAATCATCTTCTCAGTTTTTCCTCTTCTTATATATAGCTAATCTTTTTCAAGGGTTTATCATTCATGAGAAGCCATTATAGATGTATGACATGAACAAACATGTTTTCAAAGTTTTTTCTAGTATTTTTATATTGATATAAATTGTTATGGCAGTATCAATGTTTATGCTTATGGTGTACAAAATTACTGCAACTCCACCAAAAACAAAATGCCTAACTTTTTCCATATGTACCTTTTAGTCTGCCCCTTCCCTTCTCCTACCCCCATTCCTCTCTCCCACCACACCTCCTCCTCACTTACTGATCTCACTTTTGTTTTCACACTTCAAGAATTTGGTTTCATTGGATACTGTTCATTTTTTGCTTTATTTACTTATACAGCACATATGAATAAGATCTGTATCACTGTCCTCCTGTTGTTCATTGATTTGCTCAAGCGGGCACCAGTAATGTCTCCATTGTGAGACTTGTTGTTACTGTTTGGGCATATTGAATACGCCATGGGGAGCTTGCCAAGCTCTGCTGTGCAGGCGGGTACCCTCAGTAGCTTGCTGGGCTTGCTGAGAGGGACAGTGGAATCAAACCCAGACCGGCCACTTGCAAGGCAAATGCCCTACCCGCTGTGCTATCACTTCAACATGAATAAAATCATCTAACATTTTACTCCATCTGATTTGCTTCGCTTAACATGACACCCTCTTGTTCCATTAAAGGTGTGGAAAAAGGCTAAAGATCAGTTGTATTTTGTAGTGAATTGATGTGACACTTTCTTTATCTACCCCTCTGTCATTATACATTTGAGTTCTTTCTAGATTTTGGCTATTGCAGACAGTCAAACAATGAAAACTAGTGTGCCTATATAAAAAATCACTTTTTGTTCTTGGTACATATTCCTAAGAGTGAAACTGCTAGTTCATACAAAAGTTATGTTCCTAAGTTTATGAAATGATTACATAACATTTTATAAAGGTTGAATTAAATGACCATTCCACCAATAGTGAAAGAGGGTATTTTTTTTTCACTGCATGACCACTAGCACTGCTTGTTTCAATCTCTTATTTAGGTCATTCTCCAGGTGTGATTTGACATTTTATTGTCACTTTTATTTATATTTCCTTGAAAATATGTGGTATTAAACACCTTTTTATATGTCATGTATGTCTTCTTTGAGGAAGTGTCTGTTCAGCTCCTCTAATTTTTGATGAGTTATTTGTTTTTGTTGGATTGTCAAGTTTTCTGACATCTTATATGTTAAATGTTAGTTCTTTGTCAGATGTATGACGTGCAACTATTCTCTTATATTCATTAGTGTATCCTTTTTATTTTAGTCATAGTTTCTTTTGCAGTGCAGAAACTTTAGTTTGATGCAGTACTTCTTGTTGAATTTTGCTTTTTTTATTTACAACTAGAGCCAAATCATTGAAAAAACATTGAAATCAATATCATGAAAAGTAGTACCGAAGTTTTATAGGATATATTTTATTGATTCGTGTCTAATGTTGAGGTCTTTAATTCACTTTGAATTAACTTGTGGATATGATATAATATAAAGGTCTAATTTCAGTTGCATGTGGCTAACCTTCTTTCCCAGAACCACTTGTTGAAGAAGCTTTACTTTCTCCACTAAATGTGCTTAATTCATTTGTCACTGATTAACTGTCCATATATATGAGGGTTTATTTCGGGGTCTGGGCTTTCAATTATTTTTCGTCAGTATGAGTGTTTGATTTTATTCTAGTATCATGCTTTTATTGATTACTCAGGGAATGCAATGACTCCCATCTTTTTTTTTCCAGAATCATTTTTGGATATTAAGGGAGTTCCATGGTTCTGTGGAAATTATATTAGTGTTTGCTCTCTTATTTTCTTAGAAAATATCATTGTAATTTTGATAGAGATAGCAATGAAATCTGATTAATACTTTAGAAATGATAGCCATATTAACGAGCAATGATTTTTCTTTTAATCCATGAGCCAGGAATATTTTATAATTATCTTATTTTCTTGACTATTTCTTTTAATAGTGACTGAGTTTATATAAACACATATACAGATATGTATTTCACATTATTTTTATTTATTTATTTATTTGTGAAACACCATGAGGTACAGTTGTTGACCTTACAAGTTTTTGTGCTTGGGTTTCAGTTATACAATGATCGAGTACCCATACCTCCACCAGTGCCCATTTTCCACCCTCAATGATCCCAGTAATACTCCCTTCCCTCCCATCCGCCCATCCCATCCCGCCTCTGTGGCAGGGCAATCCCTTTTGTTCTCTCTCTCCTTTTAGGTGCTGTAGTTTGAAAAAGAGGCATTAAGTGGCAATCATGTTCAGTGTATAGCCTACATTCAGCATGCATCTCTCATCCTGGGAGGATCCTCCCAACACCCTTTACTTCATGTTCCCTTCTCTGTCTGAGTTGCCCTTTCCCCTTGCATGTGCGGCTGTCCTTCAAGCCATGAAGTGAAACTCCTGGTATTTATCTTGACTATTCTTGGATGTTAGTCTCCTATTTTGTTACTTTATATTACCCAGATAAATGCAATCTTTCTATGTCTGTCCCTCTCTTTCTGACTCATTTCACGTAGCATGATACTTTCCATGTAGTACCAGTTCTATGTAAATTTCATGACTTCATCTTTTCTAACAACTGCATAGTACTCCATTGTATAGATGTACCAAATTTTCTTTAACCAGTCAACTGTTCTCGTGCACTCAGGTTTTTTTTCCAGATTTTGGCTATTGTGAACAGTGCAGCAATGAACATAGAAATGCAGATGTCATTTCGACTGTACTTTTTTACCTCTCCAGGATATATTCCCAGTAGTGGTATTGCTGGATCAAATGGGAGCTCAATTTCTAATCTTTTGAGAATCGTCTATACTGTTTTCCAAAAGGGCTGGACCAATCAGCATTCCCACCAGCAGTAAAGGAGAGTCCCTTTCTCGCCACATCCGCGCCAACAACAGTTGCTTTTGTTCTTTTGGATGTGGGCCAGTCTCTGGTGTGAGGTGATATCTCATTGTTGTCTTGATCTGCATCTATTTCACATTATTTTTAAATAAATTCCCAAAAGTTTTTATTAAGTGGAGATAGTACAAGGATTAAGACACTGCATGTACCTGAGCTGGGTTCAATCCTAGCACCACACGGTCACTTGAGCATCACTGAGTAATTCCTTGGAGATTCCTGAACATTGCTGGGGGTGACCCTGATGATTTCCAGAAGTGTAGAGCCAAGAACAATCAAATTCTTATGCTTTATTAAGTGAACACTAATCACATTCTTATGCTTTATTAAGTGAACACTGATTTGCATTGCCATGTCTTACTGAAAGTGGATCCACCATGACTACTAGCACCACCTAGGAGCCCCCTGCAAGAAATTTTTTGTATCTTTAGAACTTCCTATGTATGTAATTATGGCATCTGAGAAACTTCTTTTCCAATGTGACTGCATTTGAGTTCTATTCCTTGCCTTGTTGCTGTGGCTAGGCCTTTGCTTATACATTAATTAACAGTTGTGAGAGTAGACATCTTTGGTTTATGCCTGAATTTAGAGGGAAAGTTCTCATTTTTTTTGCTACTTAGTATGGTGTTACCTGTGGGGTTTTTGAATGTGAACTTCACTCTATTGAACTGAATTCCTGCTACCCCTAATTTGTTGAGAATTTTTTTCATGAAAGGCTGTTGAATCTTGTCCAAAAATAGCTTTCCTTAAATCTATTCATATGATCATATGAATTATTGTTTGTTTGATGGCCACTTTCAGTGGTGCTTGGGGATTACTCCCGGCTAATAAATGAGGAGTGACTCTAAGCAGAAGTACTTTGGGGACCGTGAAGTGCTGTGGATCAAATCTATGTCTTTTGCATGCAAAGCATATGCTCAACCCATTGAGCTATCTGACCATGAACATAAAGTCTTCATTTTTCATTTTTCCAATATGGTGTAATACACTAAGTTGTTTTCACATATTGAACCATTCTTTGCATTCCTTTTGGTGTATTGTTCAATAAGTTTTTTGAGAATCTTCACCTCTATATTCATCAGAGAAACTGAACAGATGTATTCTTCAGTTATAGGAAAATCTTGACTTCCCACAAGATGTTTGGAAGAATTTCTGTTTCTTCATTTTCTGAAAGATCTAGAGACATACAGTAGTAGGTTCTCTTTTAATGGTTGCTAAAACTGACTAGTGAACCTATCAGAATCTGGTCTGTTTTCAGCGAGATTTTTTATTACTGTTTCAATTTTCTTAGTGGTAGTTAGTCTGCTCAGGTTTTCTACTTCCTCCTGATTCAGTATTTGGTGGTTATATAATTCTAAAAAATAATCCACTTTTTCTAGGCTCTTCAGTTTAGTGTCATGACATTGTTCACAGTAACGTCTTGTGACTATACGACCATATTAATCTCTAATGGATTTCTGCAGTATCTCAACTAACTTCTCCCTTTCTTTTCTGATTTGGATTATTGGTTCTCTTTCATTTGTTTTGTGAGCCTAGTTACGGGTCTTTTAATTTTAATTATTACTTAAAATTTTTTTTTTGAAATTTAATTTTG